GCGGGGTGGGGTGGGGGGTAAGGGACTCCCCCCCCCCAGTCGTGGAAGCCTCCCGGGGCAGGGACTCTCCCTGGCTGAGCGCCTCCTTTAAAGCTTTAGACTGAGAAAGGCCTGTTTATCCAGTGGAAGCCAAGGCAATGCTTTTTCCCTCTGGGTCTCCTCGAGAGGGAGGCGGAGGGGGAATTCAAAGGGGAGAGGGGGATCCCTGGGGCCCGGATCCCACCCCCGCCAGGGAGAGGCGAGGGATGAGGGAGGGGGGAGCTCCGTCTCTCTCTCTCTCTCTTTCTCTCTGGGCAAGTCGAAAGATGGCCAGGAGCCTTCCTCTTTGCAGAGGAAGGCCAAAAAGGGGAGTCTTCCACCCCCTCGCCTTCTTCTCCTCCAAGTCATTTCCCTGAAAAAAGAGAAAAGGAATCCAGATGGCAAATCTCCCCCCAAACACCTCCAGTGGGTGGATGGGGGGGCAGGCAGTGTCCAGCCTGGGGGGGGGAAGGACTTGAGATCATGACTGGACAGATGAGGATCCGGGCGGGCGAGACGTGGCAGGAAAGGCTCTTTAAAACAAACCTTTTCGTGTTGGGGGGGGGTAAGAGTTCTTTCCACCTCCCTCAGGGTCTGCCAGGCTTCAGTGGCTTCAGCTCAGAGTGGTGGCATAGACCAGATGGGCAGGATACAAATCAAATAAATAAATTCAGCGCCTCTGAGAGTTGATGCGTTTTGGGTGGCAACTGTTTCTGCAACCGACTAGCACTTTTGGGGGAGAAATGAAATGACAGAATGAGGCTATTCTGGGGAAGAGATACCCTTCCAGGTCACTAGAGTTGTTCATTTTGCAATCTAAGAGGACGATTTCTGTAGCTCAAAGGAAGCCGTGGTCATTCATTTCTGAACCCGAGTCGCTGCCTCTGGTTCTGCCAGCCTTTAGGCCGGATGAAGGAAAGGATGAAGGAAAGGGAGGTCATCCTCAGGAAAGCTGATTTCTCCAACGCCCATCTACTCTGTGGCTCTTTTGTGCGGGAGGTGTTGTTTTCTCCTTTTTTAAAACCAGCACTTCCACACACTCTGCCTGTTTGCCTTTTAAAACCCATAGGACTGTTTCTAACATTCTGGGCGGCCTGAGGCCCTCTGACCAGGAGGAAAGGGGGCTACCAATGAGAATTCCTAAATTCCAAAGAAAGAAACAGGTATGTTTGCTTAGCCCGGTTGATTAGGCACGAGTCAGGTAATTTCCCCCGATGTTTCTGTTGGGCGCAGAAAAGTGACCCCTCTCTGCCATCTCAAAGGGACGGGGCTGACTCTGGTTTGCCTTCCTCCCCAGTGAAACCTCTCAGGTCATCTTGGGCCACAAAGGGACTTTTGTACGGGGCATTTGCCCAAGAATCCCATTTGGGTTTGGAATAAAAGCATCAGCTTGTCATCCCAAAGCCTTATTGAGAAATGGTGTTTACAATGTCCGCAAAATCTCTTCACCCGTGAACTTTGGTCTAAATGTCGAATTCCACCAAAGAGTTAACTACCTGGAAAACCTAACCATCCCAAAATACCGGCAGGTCTTTTCAGGAGCTCGATTTAACTGTCTTTCATCTGCAGTTTTAGAGGAACGTTACCACAGTATACCTTATGAAAATTGACTGTGCCACTGCGACGATAAAGAAATTGAAACATTAGAGCATGTCTTTTTCATATGTAGTTTTTACAGGGTTGATATACATCGGGGGAGAGAGGGAGGGTCGCAGTCCCACCCAGGGGGACCAGGAAGCTTGTATGCATGCATGCATGTGTGTTTGTGTGTGCAGGCAATCATCCTCTGGTGTTTGTTGTTTTTTCTTCTGTGCATAGAGACCTCCCTTTTCCTTTTTTGCTTTCCTTCCTTCCTTTGGCGGGGAAGGTTTCCAAAGGGAAGGAGAGGCGGCGACTCTTCAGGTGATTTTCCCCACCCCGCCTTCCTTCGCCCATGCTTGGCTGTGGAGCCTTCGGATTCCCTTTCAGGGGGAGGGGGCATCCAGGAGGAGGAGTTTCAGGGTGGGTGGGGCATCTCTCTTTTGCTCCACCTCTTCTTCCTTCACTTTTCCTTCCCACCCACCCCACGTACATCTCTCCTTGCAATGAGGTTGGGGAGCCCCTTCTTTTTTCTGGCCACCTTCACCTCCAAAGAATCTTGAATAAAATTACTACTTGTTTCTACTGGCCCAGTGTTTCAAAATCAGCCGACCTGTTTGTCAGAAAATTGGACATGCGACTCAGCTTACTGAAGCTGAACTTCAGAGTATGCCTGTTATTTTCAAACCTTTTAAACAAACAGAGTTGGGACATTCTGGGATCTTTTCCACCTAGTAAGACTGTTTTCTCCTTCCTGATTCCAGTGGCCTTTGAGGAGGTGACCCAGTATTGATCCCAACAGAGCGTGGGATCTTCTGCATCGAGGCTCGAGATCTCTGCACGAGGACCTCCTGCTGGAGATTTCTGTGAACGACATCTCTCCAGGTAATTTTTCCCTTAAATGTCTATAACTTATACAATGCAATAGTAATTCTCATTACTTACTTCCTCCTCCCACCCCACTCTCTGTCCCATTGCAGACGTGGGATATAAGAGCTTCGAAACATGCTCTTAAAATGTTCACATTTCAACCTGGCTCACGATCCCCCCAAATATAAGAGCCTCAGAGGCTGATATTAGCTTTGCTACTCATCAATAACTATGAAAGGTTCCCCCTCCTCAATAAATAAATTAAAGGGGGGGGGAGCTGGGGAGCTTTCATTCCTTTAGCTGCCTGAAGGGTTTTTTGTTAATTTTTCCTCTAGTGTGATATTCTGGCCATCTAACACGTAGCTTATAAAAGGTGTATAAAGTAGATTTGCCTGAGCCCTTCCGTAAAGTGATTTGTAAGGCTAACTCTGGAGATTTGATTACG